TGGGTAAAGTCCAGGCTCGATGATAATCTCCCAAAGGGCACCCCATCAGAACATCTTTCAATGGTAGCCTTCTAGGAGAAAGTGGGGCTAGAAAATCTTCCCTTTCTTGCAGAACCCCTGTACCCTCCACATATAGAGGGTTTTGAGTTGTTAATGGGTTTTCATCAGATATCAACGTAACATTACTTGCAGATTTGGGTAACTTATTGTTCAGTGTTCCATTGATATTAGACTGCTTGTGTGCCTCAATAGCACGAGAAGCAAAGCTGCTAATAGCTCTCTGATGGTCTCCTTCTTCAAACACTGACTTTTTTCCCCTGCTTTGTTGAAAATGGTAGAGAAGAAAAAGACTTGAAAGAAAAGAAGATAACCAAAGGTAAGGAAACATGCATGGACACTAATTCACATGACAAAATATAATGTGAATGAAGTGAACAAAAGCAAAGATATTAAAAGTCTTCTAAGGTTATCTACAAATCTAGATTTATATGTAACTAATCTATATGCAATTTAGCTACTGAGGCAAAATGTTTTATTTATTTAACTAAGGGAAGTGATTTACTTCTTCAGGATAAGAAGAGAGGATAAATAAAGTCCTAAATTTAAACAAATGTCTCAACAAAAGTTAGCACTCTGTAGACATCTAAACTTCCCCCCAGAATTAAAATGTCACAGTTAAGAGGAATTTTGCATAAGATCTATCTCTACAAGCGCATTTGATATACAAGTACAACTCAAGGACTGTGATTAGAAATAATGAGGAAACGAGGTCAAATAAATCTGTCTAATAGAGACTGAGTTGTGCTAAGTGACAAAAAAAGTCTTTCCATTCTGTAACAGACTACCTAACCACCCGCACCCATGATCGCCTACGAGTGTACTGGATGTAGGGTTGCCAGGTCCTCCTGACAGGGGGATTTGGGGGGTGTTTTGGGGGTGGGCGGGGATGTCATGTGATGATGTCACCCAGAAGTGATGTCATTGCATTGGCTGGTTTTGGGGCAAAACTCTATGGTAAATTCACCTTCAAACAATAGAGTTTTGCCCCCAAACCAGAGCATCCTGACATGATGACATCACTTTCGGGTGACATCATCACTTCGGGGACGTTGCACAGTGATGTCCCTGTTTAGGGGTGGGGTTTTCCCCACCAGCCAGCCGGTCCACGATGATGAGAAGCCCTTGAATGTAGGGGATCCCTCTCTCAGACCAGGGAGCTGACAACTCTAACAGGATATGATGTATACTTGGAGCCACACAGAGCAACAGCTTTATTATTCATTTCAGTAGAGGGGATAGCACCATTTTGGCATTTTCTGCACGTGCACTGATGTCCCCTAAATTGGAAAAAAATATATATCCATGTTCAACCACTCTGATGTACACAACTGGTTCTCTTGGTGACCAAGAGACTGAGGTATACATTACAATCACAGCATGTGGACTTTTATTCTTCTGGCTGAAATATGTACAAGTCCTTACTAAATGGACTGGTGCAATCACATGGGTGAGACGTCATTCCACATTCCTTGGGGGTGAACATGAGGGTTTCTACACCTAATGTGAGTACACACAGTTAGAGTATGCTTAGAGTGTGATGACTCACTATGTAGAGGCCATTTTCAATGGCATCTGAATAAGAGTTACACAATGCAATCTGCTATGAAGAAAAAGCATTCTTCAATCAAAAACTGTGTTTATCTAATTCATTCCACCAAATCATTCTCCCATGTAATCCCTGCTCATTATGTTTGTATTTGGTAGTGGTTAGTTTGAGGTTTCTTGCTGTCTTCAAACCATTTTGTTTTCCCAGAATCAAATTGCATATTAGCAATGCTGCCAAAGTTTGTAACTACCTGATTTGGAATATGAATTTGTCCAGCTTGTGATGCTTGGATGTATTCCAAATCAAGTGCCATTTTTCCCATGAAGTTCTCTGCAATTTGAAATGTAAAATGAGATTCTGTATATATGTCTGGAAAACAATATTCAACCTGCTTAGTAGGTAGTTGTAAGACAATGTTAAGTGAGGAAGAATCTTTCACCAAACAGCTACACAAGTCACAGGACAGAACACTCAGGAACAGAGCATTTCCCCAAGAATTCTCTGAGAAAGCTTGTAAATACCAGTATGATTTCAAATAAAGCTAAGGGATGTTTGTCTGCTGCTGTTACAGATATGATGAAATGGACATGGCTACACTTTGATAATTTGCAATCCATGACTGCAAACATTAAATTGCTTAATAGTGTCCAGTCTCACTGATATTATTGAATCTTCCAGTGAATGAAAAGTTTCAGAAGTCTGAAAAGTGCTACTGCAAGAAACTAGCTAAAAAGAATAGAATTGATTGAAAGTTACTGGTCCTGAAGGCACATAGAACTGCAGTGCTTTCCGTTTCTTATCCCCACTTCCCTTTGGAAGGAGAAAGGAAAACTCATAGAACAAATTATTTCAGAAGTAAATTTCTTCCAGATACTACAGACTAAAAACTCTAAAAATAATTCAACTACTTTTCTATCTTCTACAATTTTATCCACATGATGTGAGTTTACTTACTGATGCCTACGTATCCAAAGAGAGAGAGAGAGAGAGAGAGAAATATAAGGGAAAGGACACAAAACATCTTTACAATTTTTAGCCATGCTATAATTATATATAAGACCAACCATTACTCGAAAATGGATTGAGTTGTATGTCAAAGAACTTATTAAAATACGAGATGCTGTTTTTCAAAAACAATTTTCTCTCAGAAAGGTTTACATATGTCATGACGAAGAAACCACTACGTCCTTGATCTGAAGTGAGCTCTATGTACACATTGAAGTTTCTGAAGTTTCATTATCAAAGGAGTCCCATTCTACTGCACAAAGCTTACGATAATATCAGGCATAGCCTCCATAGCAGCATGAAGTCCTGGGATGGATTTGATGCATATTCAAAAAATGTTTGGAGACATCTAGAGGACTCTGAACTTCAGTGTCTAACATAACAAGATCCTCAATTAGGCTATCTATGATACACTCTATATCCAATCTTTGAAAATCCTTGTACATGCATTATATATGGCTGAACAGATACTCCCTGTCCTCCCTGACAACTGCTTCTTCCCTCTTAGTACCATCACTGGCAATCTGCACTCAAGATCTTTCCAGGAGTTAACAAACCAACAAACAAACCCTAGGAAAAGAATGATTGGCTTCCTTTGATCAAGTGATGATGCCCTCTCACAACTGCCACTTGACTGCAAGGGTGAAAGGGGGATTTTAAAAAAGAATGAGAGAGAGCAGCAATCAAAACCAAACTACAGAAAACCGATTTTTGCCAGCTCAGGCAGATATCTTCATCAATATACATATACACAAAACTCTGTTATTCATCATATATGCATTTAGTTCCATTGGGTGTTCTTCTAAATGGGAAGCGTACATGCACAGCTACAACTGCAGCCCACAATGGAGGGGTATCCTGAGCAGGAGACACATCACAGTTCTCATATGGCTGCAGACTCATCAGATCACACCCTGAGGACTTGATGGTAGTCAGGTAGATTGGTGGACAGCAGCCGCCCAGATTTAGTGAGCAACAGCAGCGCCTAGGAAATTTTTGTACTGTCCTTTTCACCCTTTTCCAGCTCATGGCCTGGTGATTTGTTGAACATTAGTAAGTGCTGCAAGGCCCTCTGCCCTGGCATGGAACCCTCTTCCCATCAGGGGATGCCTGTGGACCTGCCCCCATCCCACCACAACCTGGCTCTGGTTGCACCTACAGCCCTGTATACAGAAGGACCAGCCAGACCTGAACAGCTGCACACCCAGCTGAAAGGTGTGGAGGGGTAATAAGAGTAGTGACATTGCATGGACACAGCTTGCTGCCCAAATATACAATTAGCTCAGCCGTGATGCAGCAGGGAAGACATCTGTGTGCAGGACTCGTGCTGAAGATGCTGGGGTAGTGCATACCAGCCCTCAGAGTCCATACATGCCATGTGCCCCCACAGTACGCTCTTATAATACAGGTCTAGAATCTTACCCTATTAGCAACCATATTTAAATACTTGCTATTGTTCTTACAAATGTATTTATCAGAGTAACTGCTATTAGATGCGAGGACAATTGTATTTACATTCCATTGTGCATTATTTGACTGAGTATCATTGCTCCCAGTTCGGGACACAACTTGAATAAACTGAGGGGTTCACTAGTGAGCACCTGAAACTACCAATGGGCTGCAGGTGTTGGACTGTGTTTTACAGATGGCTGCTCTAATTGCGCACTTATAAACGATCTTTTGTCATTTTGCCACCTGCACAATCAAAGCTTTCTGCCTTCTTTTGGGACAACAAGACAGTACTGCATACATGAGGTGCAGGATCATGCCCCCATGTTTAGGAAATGAGACATAGTCTTAAGAAGAATGCAAGAAAAATGTTTTAAATAATTGTGAGGGCCTGCGCTGAGGTGACAGAAGTGGAGTCCACAGTGAGTGAAGAGAGCAAAAGAGTTGGCTCAGATGAACTGCAGGTGGAGCAATAATCCCAAGTGTGGAAGTGGCAAGCAGCCTTGTCTTTCCATTAGACGACCCAGGAAGAGTGGAGCATACAGCTACCAGCACTGGGGCCCAAGGCCTCACCCCTCCTAGAAACAGTAATTCTGGCCTACTCAGGAACAAAGGCCTAATAATGAGTAAGGAAGGTGGGAAGAGGAGCATAAAACAGGCAGTTCTCCAAGTTGTACCTAGAAGGGGAAGAAAGGTGAAAAGTCTAGGGAGAAAAGGGTGTCCTGAGATGGTCTTTGAGATGAGGAAGAGAAAGAGAATTTTGTCAGCCCTTTTCCTTTCCCCTGGCTCCTGGGACAACTGGGTGGGGTACGTCAGAAGAAGAGTCCCATGAGCAGCATGTGAAGGAATCCCCTCCTCACACAAGCTGAAATCCATTTAGCCTCTGAATTATAGCTTGAGTTGCTATAACTGAATACCACAGATTTCATTGAGGACTTACATGGTACTGTCACCGAGTTCTTCATACAGATTAGTAGCAGGAGCACTTGCCGGCTTGCCAGCTGGTAAGGCCATCTGGATTCGAGCTGTCTTTGCACATTCAGCCTGCCTCCTTTGGTGAATCGCATGGGGAAAGAAAGAAGAGTGTCACGAACGTGTTCTCTAACCAAGATCACAGCAACAGCAACAACCATGGAAAGCATATTTTTCACAGCTTTTCACCTTCTAACAGGATACGGCACTAAGAAAACGAAGCGGGGGGGGGGAAATCTGATGTCTTAACTGATTCTATTTGCTTCAAAAATTCTCAACTCTGTTAAAAAGAAACATCCTTTTTCATGCTTGACTAAAAGTTCCAGAAGATGTGAATCACCAGCTCTAGCTCTGAAATTAACACCTATGATGCTTGAACATGAATGTGGAGTATGTCCCACTGACTTCACTGGAGCTTATTTCTAAGTAACTGTGTTTTAAGAAAACAGCCTACATTTGTCTTATAGAGCAGATAAGACTAGATTATCTCAGTGTGTACTCATGACCTTAAAATCTATGTATTGATTAGTCTGGGTTAGGAAAACACTCCAGGATTTACTCATAATCCGATTACACTATCAGGCCATTTGTGGCCCTGTTATCTGTGGTCATGTTCAAGTCTCTGCCTGTCCGACAAAAGCATCCTTTTCTGTATACACACAGAAACACATGCACATGCATGGCATACAACTAAACATAACATGTTTAATTTGATAACTACCTTACGCTATAAATTCAAAACATATTAAATGGCTATCAGTTATTTTGTAGCTTTTAAAATCCATGCATATCCTGAAGTACGTCAGTTTTATAGTTTGACTTTACTGCTGGCTGAAGTACTTCTGCAGAAGACATTAAATCTGGGCACGGAGGCTTGCATTTGTATAAAACAACTCCTGTCATCTCCCTCAATGTCATAGCTGAGTCATAAAACACACACATTTTGCTAGATGGATGTTAGATTTGGAAACTCAGCACAGGATGGCAGGGAGAGGATGGTGGAAGGCCCCCTTCTAATGCCCCAGTGTCTGTCTTGAAAGCAATTCCAGCCTCAGATTGCTCTGCCAGAACATTATGAGGCACAAAGCAAAACATTACCAATTATCACCTTTGCTAAAATATCAGAATACATACTTACTCTTTAAATCTGTTTTGTAAAGCAGAATAATAAAATAAGAAAAAGAACAGGTTATGAGTTTCACTTAGAAAACGAATTCAAAATAATGAAATTTTGTAACTATATCATTTTATACATATAATTAATTAAAATGACATTTGAAGGACACTATGGAAGTTTCCCTCCACACATGCACACTGTGGCAGTGGCTGAGCATGTTGTCTTAAATGCATGGCAATGTGTGCAGTCATGATTTTGAATCTGTGCTTCTCACAGAGGGGTCTACTGTGCCACAGCTGAGGGATGGAAAAGGGAGGGAAAGGGCTCCATACAGAGCTGGCCTGTCTATTAGACACACCTAGGTGATCAACTAAGGCAGCGGTTCCCAATTTTCATGGTATGGTGATCCACAAGTCCAAATTTACTTGGTATCCAGGGCTAGCCCAAGGCTTTTTTGTGCCTCAGGTGAACTATGACCTTGGCACACATCTAGTTCAGCATTCCATTTTCTACAGTGGCTAACCAGATGTTGTTGAGAAACCAACAACTGTTGCAGAAAGGGTGCAGCTTCTGCCACTATGAACCCCAAGAAAGTGGAATTCCGACATATACAAACTTTGTATATGGAGATTACGTTGACCACCCTCTGCTTCTCCATTACCCCCTCTAATCTCTGCTAAGAGTCTAAGGAACTCATTCTAGCAACCATCAGGACATGTTTTACTTGATCAACATGTATAGGAAGTGAAGAAAAAAATAACAACTAAAGCATGACACATAAAGTTCTGTTTCCAAGGCCAGATCTTGGTTTCCAAAATACAAAACAGAGCAACAGAAAGGGGAGGGGTGCCATTAGGGAGGGCTGGTCTGTGACTCACTTTCAGAGGTTTTGCAACTCACTTTTGGGTCCCAACCCACAGGTTGGGCAACAATGGCTTAGGGTACCAGAGAGAGGAGCTCCAAAACCAGCCCTGTTGCCACCCTGCCCCCCTCCAACATCAAGGTCTGCTGTGCCAAGTGGCAGCCTCCGGTGGTGCTCTCAGCCCCAGTGTAGGTGGCCAGCAAAGTCATTCACCAAGGGTGCCAAAAATCCTTTGGCTGGCCCTGGCTCCATAATGCAGAAGGAGATGAAAGCTATATCCACAGAAGGGAGTGGATCACACCTTATAATAATTTTGGAGGTGTTTGTCATTTCTCATAACTTATAACCATAGCCATATCTGAAGGAACACCTATTCTCACACAAACCTAACCAACCACTTCAGTCACCTTTGGAGATCCTGCTTTAGGTGTCCCTGACATCTGAGGCTGGAAGGGTGGCGATCTGAGAAAGGACCTTCTTGGCCAGGGCACCCAAATTCTAGAACTCCCTCTGCATTCATCTGTCTGTCTGTCTGTTTTGTTTGGTGTTCCCTCAATAACTCTTATTAGCCCTCCTCCCCGTTAGTGGTTTTATATGTTTGTATGTTTTATGTGTTTATGCTGTGTTTTGATTGTTTTCAATATTTTATATCTATTTGTATTTTAAATTATTTTTAATGTTTCAAATATCTTAAGGCTTTAATGCTTTGTTCTAATGTTTGCTGCCTTGGGGTGGAAATTGGGTGGAAAGGCCTGGAAACATTTTAAACAAACAAGCAAATAAACCATCCACGTACAGTCAACCATAAAATGATTTGATGGAGAAAAAAGAAAGTATTGGATAACACTTCTTTGTGAAGTCAGTTAAAACCACAGTTATCAAAGTGTGGGTTATGATTTTAAAAGTTAGTAGTGCAAATGAAAAGGAAGCTTTATAACTTCTGCATTTTAATTTACATATGGGACATTAAGGATTTTTTTAAAACAATAGGGCAACTCTGCATTTTGGGTGGGGGGGTCTAGTAGGGATGTTCCACCCTTGCAGGGTTGCCAGGTAACCACTGGGGGCAGGAGATATCCCAGCCCCAGCTCTCATTGCTGCTGCCACTCAAATGGCCGGTGAGAGAGAACTAAAGTAAAAATTGCCATAATTAGAACAGCATTATATCACATCCAGGGAAAACCTGGAAGTGATGTCATGTCTCTCTAGGAATCACTAGATTCTGGCAATTCCTAGAGAGGCATGATTTCACTTACTAGTTTTCCCCAGAAGTGACATAATGCTGTCACACTGATGGTGCCCCTTATGTTCCTGCTCCTTCAGACTCTTGTCAGTTGGCCAGTCAGCCCTATTCCTCTAATTTATAACCTTTCAATTGTAATTGCATTCTTGATTAGTGCAGAATACTGAAATTTCAAAGAATTTAATAGGAAAGAATAATGTTCACTTCTTGGCTTATTTACAAGTGGATTCAGAGCAGTGCTACAACAATGCTAACTTAAGACTTGAAAATAAGCAATGTAAAATTCATTTAATTTTAATGTCCTTTTTACTATGTGCAAAAAAATTAATTAATTGAATATTAAGCTGACCAGTGGGCTGGAAAACACTGAGAAATGTTGCTGCTACAGACAAAAAGTTTTAGTATAAAGCAAAATATGTTTCCATTGTATGTGCACTGAGAATGATAGTTATGTTCATTCAGCTATAATCAGTAGCTGTTCCCCCTCCCTTCGATCTTTGTTAGCTAGTGGCTACAATATAAGGAATGCTATAACAATAATGGAAAATGGACATGGGTTGGATCCAGCCAGCCTTTTTGCTCAGTCTCATCCAGTTCCTCCTTTTATTACAGCCACCACCCCAGAAGGCCTTTGTACATCCAAGCCCTATAGGCCTGCCAAGTCCCCCCGGGGGGTGGGGAAACCCCCGCCCCAGAGGCCCTGGGGGGAACCCCACCCCGACGTACGCGTCACCAGGAAGTGACGTTAGGATGCCGGGCAAACTGGGGGCAGGGCCACGACCATCGGCGGGAAAACTCTATGCCCGGGAGTCCCCCGCTGCAGCTGAGAAACGACTTGGCAACCCTAAAGCCCTATGATCCCCAGTGTAACCTTTGTTGGTGGTCAAAGTAAACACCTCTTTCCTTTTTAACGAACAGAAAAGCTGGCTGGATCCAACCCCATGTTTCTTGTATTACTATTCCTAGGCCACAGTGCTTAATCGTTTTTTGAGAAACCTGGATTCCATCGGAAAAAGATTCCTATATCTAAAAAGGCTCTAAGTGAGATGCTTTATAGAAGTGAAGTGACAGCCTGATGGTGCAGTCCTAAACAGAGTTACACCCATCTAAGGCCACTTACTTCAATGGACTTCAAGGGGTGTAACTCTGATTAGGATAACACAACGAGAAGGAAAAGTATTGTGATTACGCAATGGTAGAGGCAACTCCTCTTTGTGGCAGCCCCGTGAGAAGTGGATCCCAGTGCTGGGCATCCCTGGCAGCACATCAAGCAGAAAGCATTTCAAGAGACCTTCTATGAATTGATGGAAATGGAAATGCCACAGCGGGAGAAAAGGAAAGGCAGGATTGTTGGTTGAGAGGATACAGTGAATAGATATCCATGCCTTTATATAGCCCAATATTGCCAGCCATGACTGACATCAATCCTCTGTGGCCTCAGCAGATAAACCTAGAACGTTATACTTACAAAACACATACTCCATTCCTCTAAGCCACAGCTCTTACATAAAACAGTGTGATGGTAGTGGCACCAAAGGCATGGCCCCCCTTGAAGTCTCAGTGAGCAAGAAACTTACTGGACCATTACATTACATGAAATATGCTGTGTCTCTTAAGGCATATCCCAGAGCTGGCCTTCCCTAAGTCGAGAAGGCCACAGATGTTTGGAAATGGATTCTATTCATTTGCAGCCCTATCACCGCTTCCTGCTGATTTCCATCTGGGATATCGTAAGTGCCTGTACTGGAGTGAATTCCCCATTTGGCCAGAGGAAGCAATAACAATCCAGGAAGAGGCAAGCTTGAGTCTGGTTCCATCTTCTAAGTACTTTCAACTCCTATAGCTGTAGGGACCTAGCTTTTCAATGTGTCTTCCCTTACCAAAACAGTCTATCATCCTGGCCAGCTGATGTTTTCATGGTAAGCATTCAAGCACTTGGCCCCATACACAGGAGTGCAGTTACTGCAGCACCTGGGCATGACCTAAAGGTGGCTCCCCATCGCGGATCAACTTGGCTACTCAGCCACATTTCAATGTGAGCTATGTTTGAAATCCTAGGTGAGGTTTTACATACGCATAAAAAGAAACTCATTGGACTGTTATAATTACAAGGCAATAAGCTTCTGCATGTGGGCGTGCCAGAAATACAACCAAAAACATGCCCCAGCCAAGCCTCCCAATGCACAGCCCTTCACCCCCAAGGAATGCTTCATAATCAACAATAGAGGAAGGGTGTCATACTCACTGTCTGTAGCTGACCATAACTATTAAGATAGCAGGCATGCAGCAAAGGATGATGATGACAGCCAGAGCCAGCAATGCCCCTTCCGTGTAGCCTACGGCTTGCGCCTGCTTCTTGACATTGGCCACCACATCTGGAGTGCGGATTTCCAAAATGCGTCCTCCCTGGCCAAGGTATGGCTGAAACTCTTTATTGATATCCAGAAGTTTGCCATCTAGAAATCTTCAGCATTCAAGAATAAAATAAAGAAGGGTTAACAAGTACAAGAAGCAAGATCTAACGATTCTCTGTTCCTGCTTCAGGACCATCCCCTGAAACATTTGCTTCAAAGTTAGCATATTTGACATAGCCAAATGAATTAATGAAAAAATACTTGCCCTATCAAACATTCACACTGTCTTAAATGTTTGGTGACACTTTATATCACTAGCTACTCCTGAACCCCCCCCCCTTTTGCCCTCACTGTCCATGGCCCCATTTGTTCTTTCATCTTCTGAGCTGTGGTATCCTCACAAAGTATGTTTATGGGCGTGACATCTGTGACACCATCACATTGGATGTTGTATTGTGACATCATCAGCCAAGTCCCATGAGTTACCACAGCCCCTCCGACTCAATGGCGTTGAGGGCAAAGGTGTTATAGAAACATCATACCAGACAGCAGCAGCAGCCAGAGGAACAGAGGAGCACTAAACAGATTCGAAAGATTAACATATGCATGCTTTAAAGAACAAGACAAGAGGTACAATCTATTCCTATGCACTTGGGTCCAAACTAGATACGACACAGGAGATTCATGGTCTGATTTCCCTACGTTTAAAACCAGCTGCAGATGATCTCATTTGGATCAGGGCACTGCCACTGGAAGAGGGAAGGCCTATACTTGCTCCTGTTGCAATTCCCCACCCCCAATTAAAGCAGCCCTTCTAAAATCACCATTACAGCTGTTTGGGGGGGATGCTTTCCTTGGGGATGGGGGGGTTAAAGTGAGAGAACAGCACAGAAGAACAGAACGAGCACACACCCCCCATTAACACATCGCTAATACAATGCAGCTGCCTGCAGCTTGGGAATTGTGACCATGGCTCTCTTGTGTCATGCCAAGCTTGGCACTCCATTATCCAAAGAGCATGTGAAAAGAAAAGTCAATACAACAAAAGTTATAAAAACAGAACCAGTTCTGCAAGTAGGTTACTCGTCGTGAGATTCAAAAGGAGCAATCCTAAGCAGCTCTGTTCAGAGGTAAGATCTATATTATTCAGTTAGGCTTACTCCCAGGAAGGTGTGCTTGGAATTGCAAAGTTCCTGCACTGCTCTTGAATTACATTCTTCAGGACAAAGCAGGGAAATTCCAGTGTCATATAAACCAAAAATCTTTTTTTGCACACTAGTTGATGCTCATGTGTACCAGGTGTCTTTTTTACTGATGAAGAATATGCAGGTATTTTTCATTGCCAGCAGTATACTTCTGGGAGGTATCAAACACCATCTCAGTTAAAAATTCTATAAGCAGTTTCTCTACAAACCCTTATTTTAAGGTTTTCATATCTCATCCATGCATATTCTACACCAGTTGAAACCTGACATGCTGTACAAAATGAGACAAGGGACTTCTTTGTCAAAGATTCTACAGGAGATTGTATATTCTATTAATTATCTCTCTCGTTTTGTTTCATCAAGGGCAGTTCAGGTATCTTTAATATTTAATACTGCCCATTTGGCAGCATAGCCTTTTGGTGGTACTTATGTTGGAATCGCTTTGTAGCACACAATGGGAATTCTATTTGCAAAATAATTTTACTCATGGTTTCTAAACATTCCCAGAACAACACTCACTTGAAATCCAGATTGTATGCTTTATTATTGATCACAAGGGATAAAATATTATGCAGAGTTACTTGAAGTAAAGCCTCACTGAAATCAATGGAATGAGCTTCTGAGTAAGTGCATGCTGGGTTGCAGCCAAGGACAGGAGATAAAATTATGCAGTCTTAATCCTGTGTGAGTACTTAAACGGATAGGATGTGCAAAAAATTTCCTCATGTCTAGGCAGTGTAGACTGCTGTCCTAACGAAAGAGGCAACTGGCTCTAGGAATTAACATTTGGACTAAGGCTGCACAGAAGGGAAGCCATTTGCCAATTTCTGATGGACTACCTTACATTTGCTGGATGCTAGGGAGCTTGCAATGGGTGCTGGTTTAGATGGAACCTTGGTCTAATTATGCTCTTGTGTTCTTCTAGAGGAATAGATTCTCAGGATCACTTTACACCATTTAGTTATGCTTTGATGGCTGCAAGATCCTCTTGCTTTATAAGTTTAAAACAGAGTTACAGATCATCCATATCAAATAACAAAAAAGAAAACAATGCATGAGTGACATCAATCTACCCTTGGGTTTAACTACATTCACGCGTTACAGCTGCAATGATGATGCATTTGCTATTCTCTGTGTTAATTTCTGCATTACACTTTATTGCCATGAGGCCATATTTGTGAGCACCAAACCATATTTGAGTGGGAAGATGGCCTAGGGTGGCACTTCAAACTTTTAGATTTGGATGGCTTCTGCTAAGGCCATGTCTATTATTACCTGCTGTCTCAATTCCCCCTTGACCTAAAGGATGGAATACCATAACTTTTTACTTTTAGCCATGGTCTCTCTGCTGGGTACAGTGGATTCTGAAAAGACCTTGTTTGGTTTATTATCAGAGAAAAATCTGTTTGAATGAAGAATCAAGAACAGATTTTGTTACCCGCGATTGTAAAAATAGATTGCACGTGATATGTTGATTGTGACAATGGAATTCTTGGCATTTGGCACATTAGGTGTGAGAAGCAGACAAAAGCAAATATGAACCCAAGATACCAGCAGGGGGAATCCCTCCCCCCACTGCTGCCAATTCTCTCCAGAGGACACTGACTGCTGCTCTGGGCCCGGAAACAGCAGAGGAGCACACCAGCAGCTGCTCTAGCCCAGCAATAGAGGACATTGGATGCTGCTGTGACCCAGCCGCAGTAGATGCTGTCTGCTGCTCCAAGCCCTGCTGTGGGTGGAGGAGTCCAGCCCAGCCACCCAGTGGAACTAGCATCTGGGAGCCATTCCAAGCCTGGAGCAGCTCCTGGCACCTGCTGCTGGTCTCAAACAGCTCCTGAGATTTGCCTCCACCGCAGCCTGGCCTCAAAACAGCTCCGGGTGTCCACCTCTTCTATAGCAGGACCCAGAGCACCTCCTGCCATTCACCACAGTGGTGGCGGGACCCACAATGGCTCCCAGTGTACACTGTGGTGGCTAGGGTTGCCATGTCCTACCTGGCAGCCAGCGGTGGGGCTCCTGGATCCTTTTTGCTTTCAAAACCATAGAGTTTGACCAAAAACTAGAGCATTATCCCCCGATGCTGGCAACACAATGACATCACTTCCAGATGACATCATCGCATCAGGGACATTGCTCCTGTTTGGGGGTGGAGTTTTCCCTGCCAGCCAGTTGGTAGATGAAAGCCCCCTAAAAGCAGCGTAACTCCCACTGGGACCTGGGAACCCTAGTGATGGCAGCAGGGTATGAAGCAGCTCCAGCATTGCTACTGTTGCAGCAAGGCCTGGAGTAGCTCCTAGCATCTGCTACCAATGCAGCAGGGCCCAGAGTGGCTCTTGGCATTCACTGCCACCAGGCTCCAGGGTTCTGCCACAGCTTCTAACTGCCACTATAGAAGCATGTGCAGACAACACTTTTTTACTATTTAATTTTTTAATTCTACTTCGGGGGAAATGTAAACATTTCAGATTTTTTCTGCAAACCTGGGGAGTGCCCCAAGTTTGCGAAAACTCTGTTGAGCCTCCATGTGGCCCCATTCCGCAGATTTAGCTGTCCACAAATGGGGGTCGCAGTAAATGTTTTCCACCACAAAGAGTCAGTAGGGTTGCCAGGTCAGGGTTGGGAAATATCTGGAGATTTTGAGGGTGGAGCCAGGAGAGGGCAGGGTTTGGGGCAGGGAGAGGCCTCAGCATAGTACAATACCTTAGAGGCCATCCTTCAAAGCAGCCATTTTCTCCAGGGGGGCTGATCTCTGTCAGCTGGTGATCAGTTGTAAAAGCAGGAGATCCCCAGGCCCCACCTGGAGGCTGGCAACCCTAAGAGTCAGGGAAGTAAAACTGAACTTCACTTTCGCTGATTTCTAAGAACACAGTTTACTTGAAATTAAGTTGCACTGATTTCAGATGAAGTTGCTTTCAAATAAGGGCTGATGTCAATTTGATGAAACCACTATAACTTAACTGGGCCTATTTTTGTATAGTCACTAGTCGTGGTGGGCAAAGATTTAGGATACGGGTAATAGCAATCTTCAGGTGGCAGATAGATCCTTCTCAAGAGAGTCTTCCATAAGATCATTCAACTGGAAAAAGGAACTTCAGAGCGAGGAACGACGGCGCAGCGACGGGCGGTTCTCAGCGTGCTCTGAGCCACCCGATCCCTTGTTGCTCACTTCAGAGTCTCCCGGTTGCCGTGGAAACTCTGCCAGACCTCCTGGAGAGAGGTCTGGAGCAGGAGGCTTTATTTTGCCCCCCCGCAACTGGCAAGGCGGGGGGTGTCCACTATGTGCCCCGACGCAGGAGCAGTTTGTGGAGTGAAGCATGGTTCTCTATGCTTCACATAGCCGCCGCCATCCATTTTTATTTTAACTTGTATGGATTACAAAGATAACAGCAACCTAAAGGAAGGAAATATGAGAAAAGGAACTGTGAGTACCTCTATCTATATAAAAATATGGCTGAGTCCGGAGTATAACTTTGCAGAACGGAAAAGAAGAGTGGCCAGAGAGCGTGTTGGATCAGATGAAAGGCATGTGGATGTTTATTTATCTTTCTCCGGGGGATGTTTGGCTTCTCCTTAGGGGCAAGGATATTTGAGAACATTGGAAGATAATAGTTAAAAGAAACCGGTCTGTTTGTTCTTTTATCTCCTTGGAATGGAAGGACAGTTAAACTTGAGTAAATCAATTTAAAATGACAATTAAAATGGCGTCTATGGTAGAAGAGGAGGAGGAAGAAATTGACGAGAACACGCTAGTGGGAGAGATTACAGTAGAGCAATTTATGAGGGTAATGAGAGATGGCATACGGAGGGGTTTTGAAGAAGCTTTTGCAAATGTATTAGGAAAGCCAAACAACTTGCAATCAGAAATAGAAAATAAGAAAATGCTAGAACAATACCCTAAGACTTTA